CTTGTTTGTTTCCTCAAATCGAACACACTCCTCACGCCCACCCAGTGTAGGTTCTGTTGACAGCACTCCACCATGGACCATCTGATTCGACTTGAAATGTCAATCAGGGAAGCCTTCCTCGAGAGAGAACATCTTGTTTCCATGTTCTTTGATCTTAAAAAGGCTTATGGCACTATGTGGAGTTATGGCATTTTGCAGGACCTCCACTCCTATGGGTTGCATGGCCATTTACCCATTTTTATTCAGAACTTTTTACTGGACAGGCGATTCCAAGTCCGTGTGGGTTCAACTCTTTCCCGTTCCTTTCCACAGGGATTTGGAGTCCATCAGGGCTATGTCTTGAATGTCACACTTTTTAGTGTCAAAATTAATGCTATCGCTACTCACCTTCCTCCAACTATTGCAAATAGGCTCTATGTCGACGACTTCCACATCTCGTGTCAGGTTTAATGAGTGGCAGCTTCAGACTGCCCTCAATCACTTGTTGACGTGGATCACTGCAAACAGTTTTACATTTTCTTTTTCCAAAACCATTTGCGTGCATTTTTCCACCAACGGGGTCTCCACCCCAATCCCAAGCTCTGTCTCAGCGATGTTGTTATTCATGTGGTCTCTGAGGCAAAGTTCTTGGGGCTTATCTTTGACCATAAGCTTACCTTCATTCCGCACGTGTCAAGTGTACAAAGGCTATGAATATCCTCTGTGTCCTCTCTTCCACCTCTTGGGGAGTGGATCGATGTTCTCTGCTCAAGATCTATAGTTCCCTGATTCGATCCAAACTGAACTATGGGTCTGCCAGGACCTTGGCCTTGAAGATGCTGGACCCCGTTCATCATCTGGGACTTCGGCTCTGCACCGGGGCTTTTCGCATTTCTCCAGTCCAGAGTTTATACCCTGACTCCCACAAACCTCCTCTTCACCTCCATCGTTTACAACTTTCTCTACAATATACTATCAAGCTTTGATTCTTACCACAGCATCCCACCTGGGATTGTGTCTTCCTTTCTCGGTGGGCCGTGCTCTTTCAGAACAGATGGTCTGCAATTTTGGCCTTCATATCCGGGCACAACTGGCTGAATTGGGTCTGGCATTGATCCCTGCCTGTGACCTTTCCTTGAATTCATCTGAAGACATCGGATACTCCCGAATATCAAATGTAGCAATAACTAGTTTTATATTTCCAAACATTTCTAAATGTGCATGTAAAAAATCTTATAATTCACAAGACTTAGCTTCTTGATCATATAATTTCAAAAATCGTGTTTAAAGATACTGAAAATGAATGAATATGGAAGACAATTAATAAGACATATCAATGAATTGCAGCGTTTCTAATAAATCTGCATTATCATTCACAATGTGCGTCTTCAAAATAAAAGATGGTCTAAACTGGCTGTAAAAAAAGAAATTGTTACCAAATATTACCTGCACCCTAACCTGTAGATAAATTTTTAGGGGAAAAAATGTGTGTTATATTCGGAACCTTACGGTATGTTAATTTCCATTAGGATTGATAATGTATCCTGTGTCATGGATATTTTCTTCTCGGTTTACTGGCTGTTAGCAGAGCTGAAACTTCTCTTACACTCAGCTGTGGTTAGTGAGATTACTAGCAAAATTAACACTATAGGAATAACATGTCTCATGAGATCCACAGATTTCATATTGGAGAAAAGGCTTTTATAAGCATTAGTCACTGGTCCACCTTTCATTCTATTTATATAAATTTTAACCTTGAACTATTCATCCAAAGTATTTTCTTTCTTCTCACCTTTCAGGACAGGGGCATATATTCTCAACAAATTATCCACTTCTACTTAGCTGTAGTTTCTGAACTCTTCCCACATACCTGTGCTGTTAGGCCAGATGTGAAAGTCATACATTTTGAACAGTGAATGTAGTTCACCACCAAGATGTTTGATAAATCTTTTTTTCTAGAAAAAAACTGAATTGTTTAGAGGATTCAATTTCTTGATTCTTTTTTTAACTGTCTTTTCATTTACTGTTCTTCTGTCATCTAAGAACTAACACCTTTTCAGTTTAACTTCATTCTAATCAGCTTCATTGTCAAAGCTTCAGTTCTTTTAGCAGTCTCTAATATCAGAATGTCTTTTGTTGAAAAGTTTTGAAACATCACTGATTACATCAGTTAAATCAGTCCTAAACTTTAAAAAATGAGAAATCTCTTTCATTTATGTAAAGTATCCTATAGCCTTAGAGGCAGCTTCATCTTTCCTAGTAGTAATACCTTCCAGGTGGACTGGAGTTATCTCATAAGTGTCTAGCAATGATTTCAGTGTTTTTGCTAGCTACCCAACAAATTTGCTGCACCCCACTCTCATAGTGTTTCAATTCCTTATCCATCTTCACTGCTGTGTACTCGACTTAGAAAATTCTGTACTCTTTGGTTTAGCAACAGCTCTTTCGTATTCTATAAACCAAATATGTTTTATCATCACATTTTAATGATTATTTCCAAAACTTCTCCTTAATACACATTACCAAGGTCAACTCTTTCTCTGATATTGATAAAAATTTGCATCAAACTTTGTGAAGTAGTACCCAGGAGTTGTCGTTCTCTGCTGGCCATGTCATCTGAACATGTTTTCCTTTTCAAAGAATGGTTTTCATTCTTTCTCAGTTTCTTTCTTCTGCCTGCTTTTCTGCTTTCTTATTTTTAACTTTTTCTTGTTCACAACTCTTTATCCTCTGTTGAGAAACCTTTATATGTCAGGTTTTTTTAAAGGGCATGATAAAATAGTAAAACTTAAGACTCTAATCTTATTATCAGCAGCAGTTGCTAAACATTTTTAATTCATTCTGACTAATATTTATTCTCCAAAAGGATTCCAGCAATTGCTTAATAAATGAATGGGCTATTTATGATATTGACCCTTTTACTTAGGTACCAACCAGTGATGCTAAAGAACATACTTATGTGTGGATATTTTGTAAACAAAATTAAAATTTTTTTAGCATCATGGACCTTAAACACAGTCATGGCATTAATTACTGTGCCACTTGTTATTGCTTAATAATATTATCAGGGGCAACAATGTAATACACTTACTTGAATAGTGAGAACAGTGACAGTTTAAGGGTAAATAGAAATTAATCCTTTCTGGCCTTTCATTTATAGTTCTTCAATTATTCTATTGGCAAGCTAACTTTAACCAGCTGAAGTAATGCATTTTTTTTTCTGTAAGAAGAGTGCATGTAAAAAGTCAGTTTGTCCTTATTTATCCACTACCCATACATATGAGTGGAATTTTTTATCCCTGTCATATTGATTACTCAAAAGAGATACTAAGAACCTCTTTATACACATCACTAGTTATTCCTCACTTGAAATAGTACATACGGTTTTGGTCTTCTTATCTAAAAAAAGAATATTGATTTACTAAAAGGGACCTACTAGGGTGATTCCAGGGATGGGTTTAAGATCTTGGGTAAGAGTTGAACTTATCTAAGTTTATATAATTATCCAGGTTATCAATAGGATAAAGGCCTCTAAGTTTTTGCGCTTTTCTATGAAACTAATAGAATGAGAGAACATAAGTTAAAATTTGGAATAGACAGACAAAGCTTCAATTAAGACACTTTTATTTTTCTAACAAGGTGATTGACTTATGGAATGAGTTACTGTTGGCATTGTGAAGGCCAGTACTTTAACCCTGTGTTAGGCTTCTGTAAAAAAATTCCATATTCACTCTCCTGGGGGTCAGAGTGGACCCCATCATAAAAATGTAAAAATATTTAAATAATAATAAATTATTATTTTGGAAACAAAAACCACTAACACTCAAAATATTTTCCTTTATTAATCAATAAATGAACATTGAATATTACAACTTGTTTCTTTCTTACCACCTAAACTAGTGGTTCCCAACCTGGAGTGTGTAAAGGTAGTATCTCATTAAACAAGTAAGTTTTTTGATACTGCTGTTTTTTTTAATTGCACACTCAATTATATATGTCTTTTATTTGATAGTGGAAAATGAGTTAATTATTAGTTAATAAAAACAGTTTGTTGGGTAGACGGAATCTTTCAAAAACATGGGATCCATGGGGGGGGGGAATAATAAATGTTTCTTTGGTGGTGAAAAGGTTGGGAACCACTGACCTAAACTAGCCGAATATTGAAGCTACTGAGACAACAGAATTACATGCTTCCAGTGGCAATGTTTACAAAATATTTGGGGTCCGTGAAGACCCCAGAAAACTAACGCAGGGTTAAAGGAGTTTAAAAGGAGAATTAAAGGCTTCCTGTAAAATAAAGGGTAAGTTCAAGTTTTTACTTTTTCTCAAAGGTTGGTCCTTTAAGGACCAAATGGTTCCCTTTTGTCTGAATGTTACATTTGTACTGATACAGGAAAATTTCCTTTTGCTTCTCCCTTCCTTCTCTATCTGCTGAATTAGAATATGTTTTTTTTTGTCAGTTAAGCCTTGGCAAGCTCACTCTGCATCTTCACTTAGGTTTTCTTTTCAAGAGGTTGGATTATCTTCCCATACTCGGAGGTGATTCCCAGGATGAAACACCTGAGAACAAAGTGACTGGTCTTTGGTTAGTACAGACAAAGAGTGTAAATACTTAGTGCAACATCAGTAAGGGAGGAAAACAAGAGAGATGTTGACAAATTCAAGAGAAATACCTTTTGGTAATAGTAGAAGTATCACATTTTTTATATTTTGCTTCACATTTACAGTTAATGTTGAAGAAGTTTATTTTATCCGAAAGGAAAGGGTAAAACTAGCAGTTAACTCTTGTGTATTTTATAGTAAGGAAATTTGTTATGATTTAGCAATGCATAAGTAATATAAAGTTTTGTCATTACATACAAAAACAGAGGATAGTTCTAGCTGCTAAAGTTTTTATAGTAAGGAAGATAGTTGTGATGTAGCATTGCATAAATGACATTCAAGTTTGTTGTTACACACAAAAATACTATTTATGTCCCTAGAAGAAGGATCTTTATATTCCAACTTTGATTTTAAAATAGGTAAGGAGGAGCAAGAAAAGAATTATGATGAAATATCAAAGAAAACTGAGGTAATATATAATTTTTTTTATTAGAATAAAAGACTAAGTCCTTGTGGAGAATCATTTAGCTGTAGTTTTATGATACCTTTTTTTTTGGTCTTCATACTTAATGTGTAATCATTGCTAATAATGTTAATAGGTACAACCTGAAAAAGTTCAATGCAAGTTTTTGTTATGAACTGTAGTTTGACATCAGAAAGATAGTGTAGAAATACATTGACTAAGCTATTTATTGTAATTATTGAAACATTAGTGTTGATATTTTGCAGTTGTTTGTTAGCAAAGCTTTTCCTTAAGCTAATTAGCAATTAAAAGAAGTAGGTTGTGAAGTATAATATAGATATTTTGTGTCTGTATGACAAATTGTGGACAAATACTTTATACAAGTTTCATTGCTTGCTGTTTTCTTCAGTGACACTGTAAAAAAAATAGTGCACTTAAAGATTATTTTAGTATAGTTTATAAAGTAAGAAATACTACTTATACCTACTTGTACATTTTTATTTTATTGAGTACGATTTAAAAATTATTAAATTTGAAGTTTATAAAAAGGAAAAAAAATTCAACTCTACATTTAATTAATTTTTTCTTTTCACTTCTTTATTAATTTTGATCTTGAGCAAGGTTTGGCAAATTTTGGATATCAAGTCACAATGAATTTATTATTTTACAGCCCAAGACCGATACAAGTGATAACTTACTTGCATGGGGAAGCACATTATGGTAACACAGTAATAAATTACTTTTATTTTATTATTACCTCCAATGAACAAATACTTGGACATAACATTTCTAACCATGCTACTGACAAAACTACACCTCAGAGACTGGATATTACAACTCTAACCAGTTGTTCCATGTGCTAATTGCCTTGCCAACAGAAGCACCTGGAGGCTTGTAGTTTTTCTCTTATTTTTAGGGTAGTAAAAATGGCCTGTTCCTTATATTTCCATTAAGTTAATGAAGGAGAATAAAATACTAACAAATGCAGTTTTACATTCTGAAACTTTTATGTGAAGCAGCAGCAGTACAATAAAATCAATAGTGATGTTTGAAGGAATACTCTCCCACTTCAGTCAGTTCCTCATCATCAGTGATATCTACCTTATTATATTTACTCTGATCATTTTATCATGTATGTATTGAATTTCACACCTTTTGCCACTCATATTCTAGTGTTTTCTTCCAGCAAGTCAAGGCAGTAATATGAAGAAATATGAAAATTAAGTATTATGGTATTATGGCATATAGAAAATGAAACCACAAGAACAGTAACAATAAATGTATTCATTTTGCTGTGCAGATAAACAAAACAAAATTGTGTAAAAAAACACAGAAGTCGAGAAGATTACATATGAATTTGGAAAATTGGAAAATAGGCCTTTTGGTAAGGGAAGGAGCAGTTGCACCATTTTCACTCACTCAGATCTGCTTATGTTATTTCCCTTTCATGCTACTCAGACTTGGTATGCAGCTCAAATAGAGATCACTAAATGAATGTGGCACTAGCAGGTGAAACAATCTTGTTAATCAGAATTAGAATAACCTTCTGTACTCGAGAACTTGTAGTATAAATGTATGTATCCTGGGTGTATTAATGCATGACAGTGAGAATCTATGAATATTCCTTCTGAACTATGTACTAGAAATTTTTTTTTGTGCATTATAAGTTTTATTAGCAAAACTACAACACCAACTAAGAATTTGTTAGTGTGGTAGCGTTAAATCTGAGCCCTGATTTATTCTTGTGGTAGAATACACCCAAGTCTAAATCTATAAGTCTAGACTAGCCTACAAAGCCTTAGTATTCAGCCAAGCAGTAGTATTTGCATGATGTAGGAAAGCCTAAAACAGAATAAGAAAAAAAGGGGAAATGGTAGATATGGTAATAGTAATGCTTATACAAGTGGTAGTGGTAGTAGATGAAATTTGTTGTGATAAGGTTGAGATTTTGTTGTGTATGCTCATGTACTTGAAAAGAAAAAAAATGGAGATATACAATTTGGGAGAGGGGAAAATAGTTTTCATTATTATTATTTTTTTTTTGCACTTTAAAATGTTTTGTGGAACCTGAGAATTATTTCAAATACTTGAATAGTTGGAATAATCAAAACTAGTAATAATCAGAAACCCTAAATTTGATTAGTTGATTATTTTCATGAGTCATGACACTAATGAGTTAAGGTAAACAAATTTGTATTAACCGTCTTGCAATGTGTCTACCTCTGGTCAGATGTCAAAGGACATTCAAAATTTTATTGATCTACTATTTTATGAATGTATGCCACTAAGTTTGGTATCAAATTGTAGATTATAATTCAAATTTTAGTATTATACATTAGTTAATTTCTTAATTTAAAAGTAAATATTAAAACAAAATTTCTGAATATCAATTTTTTGTGTCATGTGGTATGTTGAATACAGCTTTGGTTCAGATTAGATGTTTTTGATGTCCAAATGCAAAGTCTATAATTTATTATGAATTAGAAACTCAAATTAACAATATTGACAAGCTAGAATATAAAATAAGAACCTTCTATCTTTTCTGTTTGCTGAGATATCGCTACATTTAGTGAATCAAACAAAGTGGCCCTGCTCACCTCTTTCCATTTTTGAAAATATTTTCTTACATACACCTTCTTCTGTCTATGATGTGTGGATAACCAATCAAAAGCTCAAAATGTCCCACTGGTGGTTTTCTCAGTCTCTATAAGGTGGGAAGTTCCCAAGATTATTTCTTTGTCTTGAATCGCTGAAGGAAGTGAAAATGTTATCCAGAAAATTTTTTTTACTCAAATACAGTTTAATTAGTAAGCCTGATAAATTGCACTGGAATTCCACAATATTGATAGTAATTTATTGGTTATTTCAATATGCATATATCAAACCTAAAAAAAATTGTTTTACATCCTCCACGTGTGAAATTTGACAAGGCTTAGCAAATTACGGCAACCTGGCAAATGAATACAAAGTTTGTAAGTTCAAAAAAATTATTGTTTTTGATATTTCTTTGTTTACTGTTCTTTGTTTTAAGAAAAATAACTTAAAATTAAGAACTTATTTGTAAATAGTAATAATATATATATGGATTATAATATATTTATATATTATAACCAAAATGTGACTGTATTTTACAACATACTGGTTCAACAGAACAAACTGAAGACAGGGCACTTTATAAAGACAAGTTTTATACTGTTGGATACGGTAACATGACTGCACATGTGCTGCATGATTGCAACTTCTTTAATGTTAGTTAAACATGGCTGAAAGATCAATGAAATAACAAAAAATGTCATTTAGCCTAAACATTTTTGGTTTCTTGTTATAATTTGCAGTCATTCTAGAATGAAAATCGTAACTTTTTTATGTTGGCCATGAGGTCGGTCAAATTGACCAAATCCATACAGAGATAAAATAATGAAAATAACAGATAAAATATATAGTTTTTTTCCACAAAAAAAACGTTTGATAATTATCTGGAGATTATTATTCATGTGTAAAATTTGACAATTTTCTAATACATAAAAGTATTTTTAATCTTAAAATCAAATTTCCTTTATGTTGGACAGTCAAATTTCGAAAAGAAAAATATGGAAAAAAAAATAAAACAAGAAAATGTAATATTTTTTTACTAAATCCTTGTAGTGTTTACTGAGACTCTGCAAAATTTCATGAAGATAAGTTTCCTGTATTAAAAGTTTAGTATGGAAACTATACAAGCACAAAATGGTTACAAGGTCAGTCCCTGGATCCAAGCCTGTAGTGAGAGAGTTAATGAAAAATAGTAGTGGAAATATTTCAGTTACTGAATAGTTGAATAGTCAAACAGTAGTAATCAGAAACACTAATCTTAATTAGAATATTATTTTTATAACATTAATGATTTAATCATAATTTTGATTACTAGATAGTTGGAATCATCAAAACAGTAATAATTGGAAATGCTAGTTGATTATTTTGTGACATTAATTAATTTAATCATAATTTCAATTAATAGATTATTTATCATGACACTGATTGATGTAATCAATGCTCATAGGTAATTGATTATATCAGCTAAGCCAGGTAATCATCCAGCTTTAGCCATTTTGTAAACAGATGGGTATAGAAATTCCTAACTATTATTAGACTAATATAAATTATTTATATATGTTTAATTTTATTTTTGTAGTGGCCTACTCGAAGGCCTGATTTGTATCTCTTTTGCATCTCTAATATGTTAATAGTTGTTTCTTATCTCTATAATTTTTTCAGTATACCTTTGTCAGAGTGAAAACTGAACAGTCTGGTGAATTATTGCATTATGATATTTTTTCCAAGTTTAGTGAGAGTGATGATATTGTCTGTTCAAAGATTGATGTTATCGAAGTGAAAAAAGAAAATAAAGAAGAGTTACAAATTGTTAACTCTGAGTCAGAAGTGGCATCAGGTAAGTACAAAGTATCCTTAAGTATATATATGTGTGTATGTATGTGTGTGTGTGTGTATATATATATATAGTAATAGAGAATTAATGTATGGTGTATATATATGCATTTAAAATTTGTTCATACCCCTGCCTTGAAGTTCTGTGGTTGGATCAACCACATATGGAGGCATCACAAAGCTTTATTGGTTATATTACATTAGTAAGAAACATTAGATGGCTAGAGTTTGCTTAGAGGAGAAACAGTGTTTGGACCAAACTTATGAGGCAAAGTATAATAGAACCCTGATGAGTTTACACTGAGAATTTCCGTGAGACACATTATTGTCTCTTACTGTAGATGTCTGGGAAATGCTTGATTGAGGATCATGTCTTCGGCTTCAAGATGTTGCTTCTAAGAAAGTTATATGTAGGATCAGTACAACCCTGTAATGTTATAGGATGGTCAGGGTGTATCTGTTGAAGTAACTTATGGTCAGGGTATATATGTTGAAGCAACTTCTGTGGTTGTCAAGATATGTCTGTTGAAGCAACTTCTGGGATTGTCAAGATATGTCTGTTGAAGCAACTTCTGGGATTGTCAAGATATGTCTGTTGAAGCAACTTCCAATACAGTTCAATACCTAAAGTTGAAGAGAGTACAAACTAAACATTAGAACACGAGTACTGCCAAACGAGAAGTGATAGTTCAGTAGAATTGAATAGAGGGAGTCACATGCGTCAAGAGAGTATGTCATACTCTTATTGGTCGAGGGTTGTCGCATGATGATTTGCATGCAAGATGCATCGGAGTCAGTCAATTCCAAATGTGGGAGATTTAAGGCTTGTGGCATGCAGAATTTATTTTTTTGCATATAGAGGGTAGCACTGAATGAGAATAACTATATATGCGAGAAGCAAGTGTTTTATTTTAATTTTTTTCCATATCTTTGTATTAATTTCTCTCAACAGGTTTACTCTTTATTATACAATAGTGACATTTTAAACTTGCTGAGTTATTCCAAAGTGGAATTATTATATATTTCTACCCAATTACGGAACTTATTACTTCATTACAAAAACTTTTTCTTTGTTTCTGCCAACACAGTTGTGTTTGGTTATTCATTTTGCATTATGAATTCTACATTACCACTTCAGAGGTTATATGTTCTGTTTGCACATTTACACTGACTTCAGGTTGTGGTACTCCACAGGAAGATTTTCAGCTTTACTTCATCGGGAGATTGATTGTGCAAGATGCTGATATTTGTCAGGCCTTGCCTCAAGTTTGGGGCCCACACATTTTGACCAACTTTGAAAGATAAGATGTTATATTGTTATGGTTTTTGAATACTTATAATGTTATTATTTGTAGTTATTTGTGTTTTATGATACAAGTTTCAATAATTTAGTCGATACTCGTAGTCCAGTTCATGTTAGAAGTTAAGCTTAGTTGTATTCTTTCTCCTATACCACTGATACTAGGGATCTTTGTTATTTTAGGATTACCTGTAATTCATCTGACTGGGATATCAATCGTTCGTTTAACTATATTGTTTTTGTTTCCATACATCGCGTCTTGTACATAGGTTATTGTTCATACACCCTTATTTTATTTTTTGAATTCCTGTTTATTTCATTTTCGTTATTATACTTATTATTAGGTTAAGATTTTTATTTTAGAGCTTAGTGATATCCTTTGTCCTGCACTGTTTGATTAGGCTTAACATGTGTCTGTTATTCTCGATTTACTTGTAGTTCTACTTGATGATTTTCGCTAATTATGTTAAATATCTTGTTAGCTTAGGCTTAACAAGTGTCTCTTAATTTCTTACCATTCATTTAATTTAATTTATACTTTATACATCTTACCCTTAATTTCATTTGTGTGGGATGGGGTCCACCCTACCTGCTTGCAATATTGTTCTCCTTCCTACAGGCTTTAATTCTTTTTGCCTTAGCTTAACATCAGGCAGATTTTCTTCTTGGTTTTATGTCATTTGGACCTCTGTTAATCCTTTTTATTTTCTCACCTACCTAGTTTTCCAGTTTTGTTTTACTATATCTACTCTCCTATGGGTAATGTTTACCTTCCACTTCCTTTCTTAGGTGTTCCACCTATATTTAGAGATTTTATGTGGGATACCAACTCCTTCCCTCCCTTTTGGGGGGTTGGCCATCTTCTGTTCTTTCCCTCCACATGTGGCTTCTTTCCTTTTGGGAACTTCTTGGGTTGGACACTGCTGTTTGTTTCCCGTCCTCTGCTAATTTGGGACTTACAGTCAGATCTTTTTCTCCACTGGTCCGTTTTTTATTTAGGGGGCTCCTCCTATATAAATTTAGTGTCACATGGGGTATCTGCCATGTTATATTAATTTTTTTTTCATCCCAATATATTGTCATCTTTATTTGTTTACATGTCTGTCAATTTTCTGTCCTTTACCTGCCCTGCCTATGGGTTTTCTCCATTCGTCTTGTATGCTCAATGCTGCTTGGAGTTCTGGATCAGTCGGTCCTACCTCAATGACTTCGTGGGTCGTCTCCGTTTTCATATGTAGTCTTTGATCACATTTGGGTTTGCTATTTCTGCATGTTAGGGTATGCCCACATTACACATTCTTATTTTCCATTTTTTTGGATGCTATTTTAGGTTATTTCACCACATGATTCAGTCCCAGTTTTTTGCCTTGCCCTTTGGACTTGTCTGGTACCATATGTCTTTTATGTGGTGATCTGCATTTTACCCAACTTCCACTTTTTGGGGGTTATTTTATGTTCACTATTCATTGGATGTATAGCTTTGGTTAGCTACTTCGACAGGACTATCCATTGATTTTACTCTTAATTTTCTTCCTTCCCTCTTCTTCTATGTGAGTTGATAGATTTTCATATCCCCTATGATGTCGGGTTCTCTGCTTCCTTCCCCTCTTCTGGCTTGTTTCTCTTCCCTGATGCTCATCTTCTTTGGTTGGGGATGTGATTCGATCTGTAGGAGGCTTCAAGACTATGGTCTCCAAGCAAATGGTCTTATTCCCTTCACACCCTGGTACTTCATCCAGTCCAATGTGCTTTAGTTTACTCTTTTCATTTTGTCTGGATTTGATTAATCATGTTTCATTTTGACTATTCAATAGTGGTGGCTTCTATAACTTGCCAAGGGGACATTCTTTCTTGTTCCTTTTGTGGTAGACAATGGATCTCCCTTTTAGAACCCAAGCACTTCACGTGCATCCCCTGAAGGGTCGTGTTCCAGATTTTTGTCCTTGTTACTCATTTCCTTTCCAATCCCGTCCCATTTTCTCCCTAGGAGTGGCCTCTCAATTCTCCAAATTTTTGATGGCTCAACCTCCTGTTGGGTAATCCTCCATGTGAATTTTTTATCAATTCCCAAATAATTCTGTCTTTTGTTTTTTGCCTCTTGTTCATCCTTCCCTTTCCCTGGCTGTTGATATGTTCAAACAGGATTACATCCAGTTTCTCAATTTAGTTTTCTCTTTCCATCAGTTTTTTCCCAAAATGTTTGTTCATCCATGTCATTCTGGTTCAGGTCATTCTAATCAATTTCCTGGTCAGCACAAATTTGGGTTTCTATGCTATTTTGGCTCAATTCTTACCTTTGTTCTGGATAATTTTTATTTACCTCCATTTCATAGCTCATGTGGTATATTTCTTTTGGCTTTTCTGTTTCTTACCACATTTCTTGTCAATTTGGTCCAGATGACCCTGTCAGTCCAGTACATGCTTTAGGTTGCTTCATTGTTTTCAAGGTTTTTCCATTGAATTCATCTCCCACAATTTCCTTCCCTTACTCACTGCTTTGTCTGTGATTTTTTTTCCCTTCCTCCCTGAACCATTGGGTTTAGATTGTGGTTCAATTGGCCTTTTATTTTTTGTATCCTTCTTCCAATCATTGATTCCTCATGTCTTCACTCAGATCATGCAACTTCCATTTTCTCTGCATATCCAAACTGTCATCTGTTGGAGGTACTTCATCTGTCAAGCACTGGAACTGCTACTCATACATTCATCTCCCATTCTTTACTTTGGGTAGCTGTTTCTTCCTTGTCAGGGTACTGTCATCTACCTATTGCCATTCTTCACTCTTTCGTGAGGCTGTGACTGGTTAAGTTACCTTTTAGTATATATATACACCTCTTATTTTCAGAGGTATCTCCCCCTCTTTTTCCTTATGGATCCCACTCAGTTGTGAGTGGTGCTGTCCAGGTATACTTAAACTAGTAAAAGCTGCACTGTATGTCCATGATGACTTAACCATCATAATTCCATGGCCACACAATGCACACTGTGGAGATGCGGTGTTACACAAGATTGCTTGTAGGTTTGTTTGATAAGTTTGCCCATCTTGAACGGTACTCACCCATGGACTACATAAGTAAAGCATAAGGGGATAGCTGCTCATCCCTGCCATATCTTGTATTGAATAAATCAGTATGGTCTGTTTTTCAAAATAGGGTTTTGTGGTCAACCATTGCACTGTCTCAGGTGTTGATGTTCCTCCAGACTCTCCACTGCGCTTTCTTCCCCCCTTTTCTTCTAGTTGAGTTTGAGAATCCTTACCACTTTACAGTTCCGAGTTGCTGGGGTGGTGGACCATGGAGGCATCCTTCTGAATGTGATAATGAAATACAAATAATATATATATATATATATATAATGATTATAAAACCATTCAGTTGAGAGTAGGGTGGTGGTGTTCTGCTGATGCAGATGACGAGATATCCTCCACTACATAACATGGGAGTGAGCCATCAAAATTGCATTTCACCTCTTCAATTGGGATTCTACCCCCATGTGGATTTCAGTTTCCAGTGGCTGGGTTTTGGATTTAGAGTTGAACCAATCAACATAATTCCTCTCACATGTATTGCAGATGTCTCTATTCCCTCACTCATTTCTACTGTTGTTACTCCATCGTGACCCACTACACAGATAATATTACTAAGTTTCTTCCTCTTTCTCTATCCCTTGATGATTATTATTCGGAGGATATTCCTGCACTTCGGGTGGTTCCTGTCATTATATATTTGAGTGAGATGGTTTAAATTACACAGACATCTTTTCAATGCCAGATGTAAGGTTTTCGGATCGATCATTCAATATCTCACATTGTTATAAAATAACAGCATGTACCCATTCATGGATCGGGGGGTACGAGATTCCTTCCAGTCTTATGAACTTTAGGTGAAAATGGTATGCTCCTCTTTCCTACCCCCCACCAGATGGCTGGGTTTTGGATTGTAGTTGACTTGCTGCCGGTATGATCCTCTTTCCTATCCCCACTTAGATGTCGGTACCCAGAGGCCTGGGTTTTGATTGTAGTTGACTTGTAGGCAGTATGATTTTCTTTCCTACCCCCCATATGGATGTCGGTACCCGGCCAGGTTTTGGATTGTAGTTGACTTGTCAGCAGTATGATTTTCTTTCCTACACCCATATGGATGTCGGTACCCAGCCAGGTTTTGGATTGTAGTTGACTTGTCGGCAATATGATTTTCTTTCCTACCCCCCATATGGATGTCAGTACCCGGCCAGGTTTTTGATTGTAGTTGATTAACCGATGATATGATCCTCATCCTACCCCCAGGTGGATGTCAGTTCCCAGCAGCATAGGTTTTGGATGTAGTTGACTTGCCGTGTATGGTCTGTCACACCCTAGCTACTTTTCATAACTTTAATATATAATGTATGGTTTAGATCACTATCCTGCCATAGCTCTTTCCCATTTGGATGTGCTCCTCTGATTTTCTGCCCATATATATATACAACATCTTTCTACAGTGGGTGAAGAGTATACCTCATTCAGAAGTAACATAATCTCTCACTTATGACCTTTGACTCCGAAGATCTCCTTTTGGGGATTGTCCTTTGGATGCTGTCAAAGGATGCTCTTTCTTTCCCTCACACCAGTCCCTCCACCTATTCAATGGGGAATTCTAGCTATTTATTTGAGCGGAGGTAATGTACTGTATCGAAAGTTATAATTTTCCTATGCTGAAAATGTATTTGCAATAGGTACTTACCTCCCCTCCTACCCTTCCTCCCCAATGAAAATCGGTGCTTCCATTTTCTGCCGAAACTCTGATAGTTCGGTAGAATTGAATAGAGGGAGTCACATACATCAAGAGAGTATGTCGCACTGTTATTGGCAGAGGGTTGTTGCAAGATGATTTGCATGCGAGATGCATTGGAATCAGTCAATTCCAAATGTGGGAGATTCAAGGCTTGTGGCATGTGGAAAATAATTTTTGCATATAGAGGATAGCACTGAACGAGAATAACTATGTATGTGAGAGGAGGTAAGAACCTATCGGAAATACATTTTCAGTATAAGAAAATTATAACTTCTGAGATTGACAAGGTACATCTGTTGAAGTAACTTCCAGGCTTTCTTTGTCTAACATTTGTGTTAATCATCAACAAATTAAAAAATATCTGCAACTGGCATGATTTCTATATTATTGGAACCTCCAATGAACACCACTTTGGAACAGTATTTATAGCCATGCTGCTGGCAGAACTGCACTGCAGAGCTGGATGATAAGAGTGTAGTTGGTTGGCCCATATGTATGCTAATTATCTTGTCAATCAATCAAATGAGTTAAATTTGGGGTCTCTTGCTCTAGTCTCATTTTCTCATAGTTAAACTGGGTCTGCCATGCAGCTTAAATGAAGATTAAAAACTAGCATGGGACTGGCAAGTGAAACAATCTTGTTAATAACAGTTATAGTAACTGTATGTACTCAGAATATTGCATTGTAAAGTACTGAAATGCACGTATTATGGGTGTAGTGATACTTGATAGTAAAGATCTACAACTCTCCCTTCTGAACTGTGTGCTAGAAATGTTTTATAGTGCCTCAAAGATTTATTAGCAATACTGCAACAAACTAGCAGTTCCCTAGTTTTCTAGCATTAATTTTGAAACGGTTATGTGTGTGAAAGAAACCTACACAATTAATTTAGCCATGGTAAGGTTGTGCTGCACTGAAAATGACAAAATATGTTACATCTGTATTGTTGGCCTTTCATTTCATGTTTGTGAGTCTGATACTTATTTAGAAAACAAAATCGTAACTGTGTCATAAAAAATTATTGGAAAATATCATCTTTGTATATATATATAAAAACAATAATAATTGTGTTCAAGTAACTTTCAGAATACTGGTAATTAATCCCCATTTACATTATTATTAACTTAGTTATTTTTGTAATACAAATGTGGACTTAAAACATAGTTAACATGTTTTGTTGAGGCAATTAAAGTTACTTTTTTGGTCTAAAATTTGTTAGACATTTGTTTGTTTGTTTTTTTACATAAGTAATAGACTAAAGCAAATGTCATTTTATGTTAATACATTAGATAAATTAGAAAAACTCTCAGAAGACTGAAAATATAGGTTTAGAGCAAGTGCTAGAGAAAACTGATTGATCACATTAATTCTAAGCCTATTAAGAGAAAATTGGTAAGTTTAAAGAATGATAGGCTCTTGACCAGATAATATTTCTCCAAGGGTTTTGAAAGAGATTAACTATTGGATATCTGTCCTACTTGCCTCGGTGCTCAGACCTTTGCTGTTTTTGTGTTACATCAATGACAAATAAAGCAATGGTACATAAATTGCTGAAAAATTTTATGTATTATATTGTTTTTTACAGTTTTAATTATATTATTTAAAAAGTACCAAATAAATTATGATATTTGCTTTTGATTTCTCCTTAAAATTCATTCTTTTGACAACTTGTTTATGATTCTTTGGGGACATCACTGTGTTTATATGTCCAAAATTAGAAATGTATTGATTCAAAGATTCTGTTCAGTATAATTGCAATTAATACCCACATGTTTAATTTAGTTTTCAGTTGCTGTATTAAAACGTTATTATTAATATTGCTGAATAATTATTTGTATATCTGACCATTTATAAAATCTGCAGTGTTTCTGTTATTGCACATTGTATATTTAAATGCACCCATTTTAACATCAGGGATGGAGTAAAATGTTCATAATGTATTCATGGGATACCGATTGAAATTGGCTTCACATTTCTGCTTAATGCTATTCACTATCCTGTAGTTTTCAATAAAATCTAAGTCAAAATAAACATTGAGTCAATGTCTTGGACTATGTTGGTACAGGGGAAAAAATGTTAACACTTCACTAATATACAAAAATAAAGCAAATTACTGAATTTTGTTTTTTAAGTTATGTTCTGTTACTATCCACTGTACCCTAAAAATCCCTGATGGGTGTTTACTCCTGTAAACCTGACTCTTAGATATAATCAAGTATTATGCATTGTTCAAAGCAGTCATTTTTATCTTTTCCATTTTATATGGGATCTTGGAGAACATTTCTTTGCTGACAAGCAAGCTAGCCTCATTTATTCTTAACTTGCTTTTTAGCATCTTAGTTGTTTCCATATCTACAGACACACCTTTGGAATTTTACTTTTGTTTTAAAATATATTATGAAGTCTTTGTAATTTTATCTTCTAGATCTTTGATTTAAGATAGATTTGTTTATTTTAAAAGTTGATTTTATTCTTTTTCTAGTAGTGTGTTATACTAAAGCTTTAAAAATATATCTACCATTAAATACTATATTTGTTTAAATCCATTTTTTGCTTATAGATTCAAAGGACTATCTAAACAACTGTTATGGTAACCAGTTTCCTTCTTATCACGTACTTGCACTGAAAGCTTCTTATACCAACAGTGCAGAATCTCTGAAAGGAAGCAGTCATGACATGTTGAGTGAAAATTTGCCAACAGAAATTATCTTAAAACAACAGATTCCTATGAAATTAGGTAAACCTTATGGCTGTACTATGTGCAGCAAAGAATTTGGAAGACACACTGATTTAAAAAGACATCAGAGGGTACACACTGAGGAAAAATCGTATAGTTGTGATATATGTAGCAAGACATTTCCACAGAAGTCTTATGTAAAAGAACATCGTGTTATTCATTCTGAGGTGAAACCACACAGTTGTGATGTGTGTGGAAAAGAATTTGCAAAAAAAAGATCATTGAAAGAACATCAGTGGATTCACACTGGTAAGAAGCTGTACAGATGTAGTATCTGTGACAAGGAATTTTCACAAAGTTCTTCTATGAAAAGACATCAGCGTATCCACTTAAGTGGAAATATACACAGATGTAATGTCTGTGGCAAAGAATTTGAGGGGAAAAAATCACTAAAGGAACATCAGTGGATCCACACTGGTAAGAAACTGTACAGTTGTGAGAGCTGTGAAATTGAATTTGCAAACAGTTCATCCTTAAAAAGACATAACTTTACCCACAATACAGAAAAACCATACAGTTGTGATATTTGTGGCAAAGTATTTTCAACAAAATCAAATCTTAAAATGCATGAACTTATACATACTGGAGAGAAACCATACAGTTGTGATGAGTGTGACAAAAAATTTGCAAAAAATGTATCCCTAAAGGAACATCAGTGGATCCACACTGGGAAGAAATTATATAGTTGTAGTATCTGTGAGAAGGAATTTTCACAGAGCAAATCTTTAAAATTGCATCAGAGGATTCACAGTGATGAGAAACCATACAGCTGTGATGTCTGTGAAAAAAGATTTGTGACAAATACTCGCCTAAAGATACATCAGAGGATACACACTGGAGAGAAACTGTATAGTTGTAATGTCTGTAGCAAGGAATTTTCAAGAAGTGTACATTTACAGATGCATAAAAAAATTCATAGTGAAGATAAACCATACAGCTGCCTTTTATGTGTCAAAACATTTAAAAGAAATAGTGAGTTGAAAATGCATCGGATGATACACACTGGGGAGAAACCATATAGTTGTATTGAATGCTGCAAAGGATTTAAAAGAAACAGTGAATTAAAAAGACACCAGAGGATCCATACTGGAGAGAAACCATACAGATGCGTTGTGTGTGTCAAAGAATTGAGGATGAATAGTCATTTAGAAATACATCAGAGGGTACATACTGGTGAAAAACCGTACAGTTGTGATACTTGTGGCAAGCGATTTTCAGGAAGTGCAAATTTAAAAATGCACCAGAGTATTCACAGTGGAGATAAACCATATAATTGTGTTGTGTGTGACAAAGAATTTAGGTTAAATAGGTACTTAAAAAAACACCAGCGAAAGCACACAAAGAAGGAACCATAGTGTTTAATGTTGTCTGTGATAAAATATTTTCAACTTAAAAATGTATCAAAAACATCAAATCATCCATATTGAAAAGATAATTTACACTTGTAATACTTGTTACAGAGTATTTTAACACAATTAGTTTTTAGTTAGATGAGATCACTTATAGCAAAGTTGAAATAAATCACAGAAATGTGGTGTGAGTTGTAAAGAACTTCCAAGTAAATTGTGCATTAAGTGACATCTAAAACCAAACTCTTGGTGTGTTGTAGAGAACAGGCTTAAAGATCCTAAAAAAAGTACATATGGTTATATGTTAACTCAGGTGATCGTGTGGGACATGGCAAAGAAGGAATGTTTAATAAAAACCACAATCAACCATACTGTAGGTGTTAATGTACTTTTTAGTCACTATGAGAAAAACCTGTACACTGGATAGGTGAAGTCATCAGCCACTATTCATTTCTTCACATTATATAGCCACACAATATCAGATATAATAGATACATTTTGAGATTAATTAATTTTTTGAATACTAAGAGAGAAGTAATATAATTGTTATGTTTATTGTGGAGAAGTTATTCATGGTTTATCTTTACAAAAAGAGAGAATTGTTTCATTTTATTAAATTTGTGACAAAGAGTTTGAGAAAGCAAATTATGCAGTATGACATTATAAAATACACAACCTGAAGCCATAACTTTAAATGTTTCCCAGCTGTTAATTGAAGGAAAAAATCTTAATATGTTTACCACTAGGTTCTATTCTACATAGTTCTCTATCTGAATAAAAGTTTTATTTTTCTATAGTTACTAGTATTATTGTTGTTTTTTAATAGCAATATTTTTTGTAAGCAACAACAATATTATGGGGTTAAACATTATGAGAATAATATCCTTGCATAAAATATTATATTTGCTTGTTTCTGATTCACCTTTCATAAAGACATGGAAACAGAATTCTAAACACATTGCTCAGTTTAAAATTAACATTTGTTGAACCAAAGCATTTTTGGATTCATGGTACTATACAAATGCAAATTAATTTCCATTTTCCCACATTTTATTTAACAGTAAATTGTGAAATGGGTAAAAATATTTCAATATATCTACATATAAAACCTGCATGTAAAATTTCCTCCTTATGTTCTTCTTGTAAAAATGTACCCTAACACCAATTATATTACTCTGTAGAACTTCCTCATGTTTTGATACCATACTCTTTACTCTTTCAAAAAGTTACTCCAATTGCTTTCAAAAATTGTCCATTTCGCTCTGTAAAACTTTCTGCATGTCCACTGATACTGTCTACGTTACCCTTAAAAATGTTCTTCTCTTCAAGATCATGCTTTTCACTGTGTAGAAGCACCTTTCACTTATGTTTTACATCACTTATTTTCCTTTGTAAAGACTTACTCCTCCAATTTCTTGATAATATTCACTGAACACTAATAACTTATGTTATTCTTTTCTGGCACCTTTTTGTCTACTGTGAATTTTTTATACCATCTAATAACGCATAATATCTTCCTTCAGGTTGTGATAAGATGTTGATAGCTAGGTAAAGGAAATGCAGGCTACTATTATATAATCTCTATTTTTTTACCTTCGATGTCCAGGAGCATAGAGGAAAAAAGTTAGGTCATGCTGAGTTAAGTAGCATCCTCAGACTTACTGGATTGGTCTCTACAGGACTCCAAGTCACTTGTTAACAAGCCCAGGCATTACCGGATGCTGGTTTGAGTCACCTATGGCCAATGATAGTAGTAAGATGAAGTTTGCTGTGATGTACTGTGATACTATAGTAGTCCCTGATGGATACACCCCCCCCCCCCACTAATGACTTCCTTTTAAATATGACTTTTTTTTTCTGTGTACGGAACTATTTTACATTGATCTGACCTCCCATGAACGACTTCCTAACAGATGCGATATACAACTGTGATTTTTGAGCAGAAGGTCGAATAACAACCTCT